GAAGAAAACTTGGTGAAAATGTACCTAGTTACATAGATCTAAGAGTTCTAGAATAGTTTCTCTTTGTAACAACAATCCACTTTTCCTTGTAACTTCTTGTACTATGTCTACTTTCAGTGATTGTACTTATAATCTGTAAGCACTAGACATGTACTGTAATAATTGTAGTATTTCCAATGATTAATAAAATGAGCATTCCATGTACTTCACTGAAAAAGATCCCTGAAAAAAGTAATAGGGACACAAGTCTATGAGTTCCAGTGTTACTTTTTACATTCACTGACAATCTATAAGTCAGTGAATAAGCTTTCAGTTTCAGTTTCCGTACTTATAATTATTCTTAGATATAACTTAAGAAAAATTCTCAAGCTGAGACTTACTAACTAAAAAAGATCCCAAAATAGTAAAAAGGGACATGTACTTTATATGTAACTTTTCCTTACTATTTATATTTAACTTTTCCTTACTATTATTTGATAAGATAACTTTCTTTATGTTATCTTGTTATCATCAAATAGGGGGAGATTGTTGATCCTCTCTCTCAGTGATTTGATGATAATCCCTTTTCACTTACACGTTGTATTTATCTTTCTGTCTTTTCAGTTCCAGCGATCTTCATTGAGCATGTTCAGTGATCGCTGAAGAACTTGCATTGTAAATTCATCAGAGACAACGATACTTCAAGAATACAACACTCACACCAAAGAACCTTCAGCAAACGTCAAAGACTGAAACTGAAGATTAGAGACTGGCGAGTACGTGATCTGAAGCGGTACTCAGTGATTACAAACCTGTCTACATATTTGTGAAGACTGCTCAAGCTTCAGCGAATGATGAAGAGACCTTCAGGTCATTCCAGCATTCGGCGATCAAAGGAAGCTTGCCTAGCACGATTGTGTTGTCTTGTCCTTATGCACATAAAGGACAAAACCATACCCTTACGAAGGTTGGTACGGTACGGAGCCGACTAGTCAACTCTATTGTCTACCAACTTTATGTAAGGATGTGCGCTAATGAATAGTGCTTTTTGTACTATTCACTGTAGCAAAGGATAAGCCTTCCTCTTAAGGCTTGACACGCACTCTAAACCTACCATATTGCATTAAATGTTCATTTAATGCACTGGGTATAAATAGAAGTGTTTCTTCTCCATGCAGAGTGCGAGCAACTCACTCTCTAACCCTAATTCTTACTTCAAGCATTTTCTAGCTTAAGTAAAGGATCTTTTCTACAGCATTTCTTCTCTTGTATTTGCTAAGATTAAGTGTGTAATTAAAGATTGTTTAGATAAGTTTTTATTACCTTATCTTTCGCAAACAATCTTGTAAAATCTGTATTGATCTTCTTTATCAATATATATTTTAAATTTAAAAATATTGTGTTTGTATTCATCACCCCCCCCCCTTCTACAAACTGTTTTACTCTTCTTGTAGACCCTCAAGGGACCAACAATAGCCACCTTCTTCTTGTCTTCATCACTCTATTGATGAGGGAGCTTAGGAATCTGCCGTTCAAAAATCGCGGCAGTCGTAGCTGTTTCAGGAACAACTGGAGATATAGCGTATGGAACATAAGGTCCATTCTCTATATAGTGTGGGATCTCAGGATCCACACCTTCCAAGAAAAGAGACATCCGATTTTTCTAAAGACTGAAGTTGTCTCTTATAAATCGGGGAGGTTTGGCAAGAGAGCCATTATCGTGAAAGTTTGTGTTTGTTTTTTGTAATGCCATTTGTAAAGCAGTAATCTAGAGAAAGAAGAGATAATAAAATGCAGATAAACAACTAAACAGTACGAGAAGAAAACATTGTTCTGATACCACTTGTTGAAGCTGGGTCTACAAGAGTTTAGAGGAACAATTTGTAGAAGGGGGGGGGGGATGAATACAAATACATAAAACTTTCATATTTAAAAATATATATTGATATAGAATGATCAATACATATTTTTTACAGATTGTTTGCGGAAATAGAAAAGGTAAAAATAACCTACCTAAAACAATATAAGATTACACACAAATATACTTAGCAAAAATATAAGAAATTTGTCGAAAAGAAAAAGACAGAAAGATGTTCTTATTGGGTAAGAACTTTAGAATTTTGAGAGAAATTCTAACTTGCTTGAAGATAAGCGTATGTGTTCTTTTGAGTGTTGTAGATAGATGTTGTGCATGAGGAGAACACTTAGCTATTTATACCCATTGCATTAAACGCAAATCAGAAGGGTTAGAACACGCATCAAGCTTTAAGAGGAAAGTTTGTCCTTTGCAACAGTGAATAGTATTATTATCTATTCATGAGCAGACATCCTTTCATAGAGTTGGTGAGCACTGGAGTCGACTAGTCGGCTCCGTGCAATATTATACTCTTGAAAGGGTATGGGTTTGTCCTTTGTGTGTGGAAGGAGAAGATAAAACAATCGTGTATGGCAAACTTCATTTGATCGCTGAATGTTGGAATAACGTTGTAGGTCTCTTCAGCATTCACTGAGGCTTGTGCAGTCTTCACACATATGTTGACCATGTTATAATCACTGAATACCGCTTCAGATCACGAACACGCCAGTCACTAATCTTCAGTTTCAGTTTTCGACATTCACTGAAGGATTACAATGCGTGTTTTAACGATCACTGAACAGACTCAATGATGATCGCTGGAACTGAAAAGACAGAAACAATAATACTTCGAAAGGTAAAAGAGATTATCATCAAATTAATGAGAGAAATGATCAACAAATTAAAATTTGAAAGAAGAAAAAATAACACTTTAAATCTATTTTCTTGATTGTAGACTTACTTCCAAAATTGGCAAGCAATTCACAAATCTTTCTCAACTTACCAAAAATTGACAAGCAATTCACAAATCTTTCTCAACTTACCAAAATGGTAGGAACCCTTTTCTTCCCCAACTTTAAACCCTTTGTATACCTCTTTTATGCATGCTTGCATGCATACACATGCAAGCACACATATGCACCCCATAAGAAGTATTTTATGATTTAAAACTCTCATGAATGCATAATAATAATATACACCCACCCACCATATAACTATGCATATGGATCACAAAAGGATTCAGTTACATTTGGATGTTATTTGAACCAGATTTAGTTCACTTTGTGAAAAACTGAGATATGATTACGAAAATAATCATTCAAAATAAAAAAAGAAAGAAGAATTATATTATATCCAATATTAGGCCTTGAAACAGAATCTTGTTGAACAAAAAAGCCGTATTCAGATACAATGAATATGCTCTAGGACGGAAGGATTCGAACCTCCGAATAACGGGACTAAAACCCGTTGCCTTACCACTTGGCTACGCCCCATTTATATTTTTATTGGACACTAATACTAATAAAGACATACATATGCATATTTATCATCACCTATGCATGCTTCCCATGTATGAAAATATATACTCACATATTAAACTCATGTAAGCATGTATCTACATGATCAATTATAACAATTAATCAGTTATTCATGTGATCATATAATCAAGGTAATCACATAACAATTATCTCAGGTGCATAACTAGGACCCGATTATCACATGTAAAAACTGTTTATTTTTTATATTTTTATACTAATTTGATCGATTTAGATTTCAGACTTTTTTTTTTTAAAGGAAACCAGACAAATTTATAAACCAAAAAGGAAGAACAACAAATTTAGATTTCAGACTTCATACGTAAAAACAAATAATCTTAGTGATCCATATTTCTGACTTCAGAATCATCTCTTATAAATGAGAATTGAAATCAGACTTCAGATTTTAATATTTTAAAAAAAAACAAATGTCAGCTTAATTATTTGAGACGAAGAAAGTAATTAATAAAAAAAATTACTATATTTCAAGTAAAATATTATATTTTTATTTCTTAAAGAATTGCAAGTGTAATACCAAAAGGAAAATGGAGAGGTTCCCTCCACATCCATATCCGAACCAAATTCCCTCCTTCCTCCCTTCCTTTTGTAGTCTTCTATCTCTCTCTCTCTTCCCGCTTTTTCCAATCATTCTTCACTTCTTCCTCTTCTTCTTCTTCCACCTGCAACCAGATCTCTAACGATCCCTTTTCATTTTTCCCGCCCAATTCAATTTCTCTACACAGATTCGATCACTCTGTAAAACCCCCAAAAAACCTCGAAAAGAGGGCCTCATCGATCGCTTTTCTCAATTCTACTCAAATTACATCCAAATTCACTGGGGTTTGCTTTTGATTTGCTTCGAATTAGTCAACGATTGCGCCAGATCATGCAACAGCAGCATAATCATAAACATCCCTTCTTAAAACGTCAGCTTCCTTTCACCTCAATGAAGCCGCCGCCCTTCGGTGACTATCATCGATTCTCCACCTCCTCATCAACTACTGCAGGGCATCATGAATCCGAAGCCATAGTCGTAAAATCTCCTGTAAGCATAGACCGTAATTTCCACTTTTTATCTGTCTGTTGGTTCTTCTTTCCTATATTATCATAATTTTGGAGATCTGATCTATTTACTCTCTTATGTTAAGGGGATTGTTTTTTTTTCCTTTTTGGATATTTTAATTTTGTGGTATTCATTTCAATGTGAAGACGGATATGTGATTTTAGTGCTATTTTTGTTTTTGTCCAAATTATTGTTACAAGATTCTTACTTAAATTGACTCCCAAGGATCATTACCATCAAAACAAAGTGCTTAACTAGGATTACTCTGCCTACATGCAAACATGGGCAACTTATGGGCTATTCCAGTTTCATTGAAGGAATTATGTCTGAATTCTCTTTCTATACGAAAAAGACCTTGATTTAGTTTAAGTCCTAGCACTATGCTTGAATTTGATCAGCTTTTTGTGAATTGGAGGTGTGATATCTACTATCTTTCTTGGTAACAATGTGTCTGTATAAGTTGGTAGATATTATGGAGATCAAATCTCATATACAGATATCTTCAAGAGCCAACTTATTGAAGAATCATATATTTAGTTAGTGGAAGGGGACTTGTTAGATTGTCAAGAGATAACAAAGTTCACAAATTGTCACTCTTTTCATTGGAAGGCTATGTATGATCATATCTTTGAAGTGTACACATTAAGGTGAATCAATGTACTGTTTCTTCTGTTCACCATTTTCAATTGTTGTTGGATTAACCAAGCTCAAAAAGAACCTTGATTAGAAGAGATCAAAGTTTGTAGATTCACAAGAGAAAAAGGAGTCTGAGGGTATGGATCAAGTTCCATTGAGTTGATATTTTATTCAATCCACATGCTTACCACCTTTTAACAGGAGATTGACATTATATGTTCACAATGATTTTTTATGGCTGGAAAGGATAAATTGTGATGCTCAGGGGTTATCTAGCTTTAATAGAACTTTGAGGTGAGAATTGAAAATCCGGAAGGATAAAGCTCATTTGTTCCATTGTGTACTAAGCCAGAAGTTGTATAGTCACAACCTTCATGAATGAGAAAAAGGGGAAAAGTGTAGTTTCTGACAGGAGTGAAATAATTTACTTAAGCTTACTGCTTAGCAGAGTTCAGGATATTTCATCCACTATTGTGTCTAGGCTGAGAAGCCAACTATAAACAGAGATCATTCATTGAGCAGTTCCAAGAACCACTGGAATATCACACAACTTGAATGACCTTGTGTATCAAATACAAACGACAATAGTCTAGTGCTGGGGACTGCTTGTGATTAGGAGGGAGCAACAGCTGGTGGCGGTGCATTATATCATGGTCATATTAAGATAAAGTATATGTGGTTCTTCCTCATGCATTTTGTGTATAGAGGCTGACATTGAGAAACTTGTGTTATATACTGTTTAGACCCTTAAACAGTGGAGTCAATGCCCTTTTGGTGGCTGCTTACTAGTTACCACTTTACCATGCATTAATTGTAATCTCCATATCTACTAGTTAATGTTTTTGCTACTACTAGTTATTAAAAAACATATTCTCCGTGTTATTCTACTACCATAATCACGTCAGTATATATTCTAAAATCATTTTAAGAAAATCTCAATTAATTTTATCTTGAGAGTTTTGATATTAAGTTGAGCTTTACCCTTTTGGAAAGAAGAATCAACCACATGCTACACAAACAAGGTTGGATTAAACCTTAAACGAAAAAGGTGCAGTAAACAGAGTGGGTAAGTGCTGCTAGCAGGAGCGGGGGCAACATTATCAATAATGTAATGGATTAAGAATCAACATACGATATGTAAGAAAAGCTTATGTCACCCCTGTATTAGACAGAAAAGAGGAGCATATGGCTCGGTAAGATAAAATGGTAGGAATTGGGGGTATACAAGTGAATACTGAAAACAACTTGCAGAAGCTGGTTTCGAGGAGAATGTCATAACTCATAAGACAAGACAAAAGTGTTTCTTTCTTACCTCCTGACCCTCTGAATAGAACTTGGATGTTCTTGTAAAACAAGAACATGGAAAAACTGACAAAAATCATTTTGGTTATCTATTGATAAGAGGACTAGATCATATGCCAGAGATCATCCACAAGAAGCTAAGGACTTAGAACACAGTCAATGGCTTTTAGTGCTCACGTTTTAATTCTCAACCATATGTAACAGGAACAAGAGTATTCTTGAATGAAATATCAAATGACAGGGTCCATAAAAATTACAAGGTATTTTGGTAGGATAATAGTGGTTTCTTGTATTCGAATAGATGTGATGTAACTTGTTAGGTTGGGATTATGGGAGATTTGAATGTTGAGGTAGATAATCAAGTAGTATATTTTAGATTTTCCTTTCTGTTTTGTTAGTCTACTTGTAGTAGCCTCTCCAAGGAAATTTTTATTTTCTTATTTTATTGTAGCAGTAGCTGATATATTTAAAAGTATATACCATGGCTAGCTTCTTAGAATATATGTATCTGTATCTCATGGTAAAGTATTATAGCCATGGTAGGAAGTTTGTTGGTAATAGAAGTTAATCTAGTCCCTTCTGTGCTTAAATTTTGAATCAAGCTGTATTTCCAGTTGCATGAAATCTGACATTGCTGATCCCATGCAATGCAAGCATTATTTTTTTCTGTCATTTGCACTTGCAAAAGTAACCTCCCATATATCATTAGGTTCTTACTGTCTCTGTACTTGCAATTATTATCCCACTGGAGTATATAGTGACGGAGATAATGAGATATTGAAGTGATTTATTGCCTACTCTTATTTTTTATATCGACACATGAAAGTGTGATTCTTGTTTACTGGATTCTTTCTTTTATTATATGTTAAGAGTTTCTTAGTGGATTTTTTAAATATCTAGTCAATTGCACTTGAGCACACATACTGCAGGTCAGAATAGTAAAATTCCAACTCAATCTAGCCAAGCTCAACTGGTCCTTAAATCACATGATGGGGATCCACACTAAAGACTAATTCCTTCCTACATGCAAGATAAGCTAGTTTTCTTCTTCCATATAATTTCCTCCATTATAAAATGCAATAATCAGTACACCTTTCATCTTCTCAGGTAGCTTTGGACTACTAAAGCCCAACCTGCAAAGCATAGTTACTCGTGATACACTTAGACTGCTATATCTGCATTGGGTACACATTAGTTTCTTGTGTGGCTTGGATCTGCCTTGACACATACCCAACTCACACCATCTAAAAGGAGTGGTCCGAATCGAACATGCATGTATTTTAGATACACACATACTTATAAGGGACAGTCTTAGGTAGACAGTTTCCATGGGTGTAGGCCTTCCAACAAGGTAATGGAAGTGTGCAAAGGTTTTCCAAGTCCAGATGGAGTTCTCTTTGTTTTTGGGGACTTTGGTGAGTTACACACAGAATATGGAAAAGGTCAAGAGGATTTCTTTTTGGGAGGGGGGTCTATGGATGAGGGCTTTGATGCAGGCTTGACCAGCTAAGTTGTTAGTTGAAAAACACTATATGGGATGTTCTTATGTAGAGTGATAAATGGGGGATCTTAAACATGATCAGATGAATGGTGCCGAATATATGGGATCCTTTTCCTGTTCCAACTTCTTATTGAGGCGGTTTGATGGGGATGTAAACCTTCTGCTACTGAAGCTCTGCCTTTTTCATGCTTCAGTTCTGGGCATTTATTAAAGGGTTAAATACATAGAATAGCAACATACTTTTAAGTTTATTCTTGTTTGGCATTGATTGAAGCGTTTAAATGCACAAAATAGCAACAAACTTTAGGTTTATTCCTGTTTTAGACAATTTGCTCTTTTTTTAACTCACAGTAACAGCGTACTTTTGTTTTCTTCCATTTTAGACGATAAATCACTGGGAATGCCTTTACTCGGTTACCTTTGCTGACACACAAACTGTGTTAGCGACTCATTAACTGTTATATGGCAACCCGGTGCCATGCAGCATCTAACAGGTTTCTAGGTAATTTGTTGCCTAAAATGGAAGAGAATAAAAAGTTTGTTGCTATTTTGCAAAAAACGTACATTGCTTAAAATGAGAATTGGCCTAAGGAGATTGCTATTTTGTGCATTTAGCCTTTTACTGAAATATTATTATATGGCCTTTGTTCAAATGCAATGAATTATAGCTGCTTGCAGTAGAATATAATTTTAGCTTTTTACTATTCATTTGATATTATTCTCTCTTTTATGTTGTTCTTATGCTCATGCCTTTTCGAGCTGTTTTGCCATTCTTTTTGTGGACAATATTAGAATGCTTTGCTGCCCAAGCATAAGGCCATGTGTTCCTGGTCTTTGGTAGAGAATAGATATTATGTCTTCTAGGTGTGGGAGCTAGAACTGCACTCATTCATGACTGAACTGTTAGCTAGCCAAACACACATGCTCCAATTATTATTATTTAAATGTCTAATAAGATGCTTTCCGTACATACGATTCACCTTCAGTATTGAGATGGTCGATTATTATCTATTTGCTATCATTGATAAGAGAGTTTGTTTCCTATGAATATGTTGTAAACTTTAACCACGTTGATTGTGATACATGCTTAAATAATTATTTGTCAGCTATTAAAGAGGAAAGGGGATGCAGCAACATTTGAAGCCGAATCTAATGAGCAGAACCCCAATCCTGGAAACGCGTTAGCCATTAGCAGTCCTCTACAGACCCCCATGTCTGGAAAATTGTCAAAAGCACAGAAAATTCCAAGAATTGGAAAGTGCAACAGGGCTGGATCTCAAACTTCTGCAACCAATACTGGTGAGCATTATGTACAAAGTCTTCATGATACCATTTGATGTACACTGGGAAAATCAAAAAGTGAATTCAAAGGAAACCAAATACTTCTCATCAATCGAATGCTTACAAGAGGGTTTTCTGGCTTTCGAGAGGCCAGAATCTCTCCATAGGACTCACGCCCGAAGTGTTCATAAAACAGGAATCGATGCCTCCCTCATCTCAAGCCCTCTTATTTATACTAAGTAACCGGCAATCTACCCTGCTTCACCTACTTGTACCCCAGCAGTAAACACTTGTACCATAGCCTACTAGAATTGAATTGGCTATAATACCCGGGGTATAACAGATTCAAATAAAGTATTTATAACATCATAATCAATTGTTGTTGCAAAACAGAACATCTGAGAAATTGTGTGAATTATGCAGATTCTCCATCAGGAAATAATCTTACTCCAGTTGGTCCCTGTCGTTATGATAGCTCTCTAGGTAATACATAGAGTGCTGCAACCTTTTCATCTCTCTTTAAAATCATTTCCAGAGCAGAGTATACCTGTTGCCATCTTTGTGTAAATGAGCATTGACCATGATTTATAAAATCAGGTCTTCTAACAAAGAAATTCATCAACCTTATCAAGCATGCAGAAGATGGTATTCTTGATTTAAATAAAGCAGCAGAAACATTAGAGGTAATCATATTTTTCATCTTTCCAAGCACTCTGTTAGCTTTTGTTAACTGAGTTGGTTGTATTAGTACAGGTACAGAAGAGGCGGATCTATGATATAACAAATGTGCTAGAAGGAATTGGTCTCATAGAGAAAAAACTGAAGAATAGGATTCAATGGAAGTATGGAATGTTTCTTGTATCCTCTATGGTTTATTACATCTCTTGGTACATTCTGACAAATTGATTGATACACTAGGGGACTTGATGCATCAACGGGGGAGGTTGATGAGAATATTACTAGTTTACAGGTATGGTTTAGCAGTATTTCTATCTGTGAGTGGCCTTTATATAACAATATTTGCATTTAATTAATCCATGAGTGGTCATATATAGTTAATCACCTTCATCTTCATATCACTCATATTTGTTATTAATCTGATCTTTTAAAGTTAATTTATTCCATGGCAGGCAGAAGTTGAAAATCTTTCAGTGGAGGAGCTTAGATTAGATGAGCAAACAAGGTTATTACATGTGATTTATACAAAGAAAACTTATCACCTTTTTAGTAATGCTAATGCTTGTACTTTGTTAAACTGCCAGAGACATGCAAGAGAGGTTGAGGGACCTGAGTGAAGATGAAAACAATCAAAAGTACAAGTTTCTTATCTATGCATTTCTGGTTCTGTAAACGTGTCAATAACTTATCTTGATGGAACTAGGCCAGTCAGGCTAAAATTTATAATATGTAGATTTATCTCAAATGGAAAGAGATTGTTCATATCAACATACATACCCACCCACCTGCATTATTTATTTTGTAGGTGGCTTTTTGTCACTGAAGAAGATATTAAGAGCCTACCCTGCTTCCAGGTATGTTTTACATTGTCCAGGGTCATAATCCAAGTAATTTGGAAGCTTTACCTTTCAATAAAAGCACTTTTTTCTTTGTTGGGTTCAGGAAGAAACCTTGATTGCAATTAAAGCCCCACATGGCACTACTCTAGAAGTTCCAGATCCTGATGAGGTAATTTAAGAGTGTATTAAGGAAATGATATGATTAATAGAGCTTATGGAAACCTTTCTTCAATAATCAGGCTGTTGACTATCCTCAAAGGAGATACAGAATAGTTCTAAGGAGCACTATGGGCCCTATAGATGTTTACCTTGTCAGGTACAACATTTTCCCTTTTCTTTTTCTAATAACAGTGGTATCTATCATCTTACGCAAAATGCTCCTCCACGTGGTCAGACAAATTTCAGGCCTTTTGGCCTGCAGGCGTGACACTTGAGGAGTTGATAGCACCTACCAAGATTCAAAAAACCTAGTGTTCCATGAGACACCAAGTCTAAATAAATTACCCATTAGGTTTAGGTATTTGTTCTTAAAGCTTTCCTATCCCTTGGGTGTGGTAATTGAACATCCAGGGTCTATGCTCATACGACCAAACCCTTCGCCTCATATATCTCTTATTCATATTGAACCCTTTCTTTCTTGTGCAAAAACATAAACCTTCATTGTTATGTCGGAATGTGGATGAGAGTGTTGATCAACAATTGAGTAGCTTTCTGTGTTTGTATGATAATCAATCGTTTGCTGAAACATTAATTTGGTGTATTGTATTTGTTCATTTTGTTTGTTTAGTCAATTTGAAGAGAAGCTTGAGGAGATGAATCGTGCTGAGCCGAACTCAAGCATACCTTCAATGATGGAGATGATTGAGAATCCGACTACAGAAACAGCAATGGAGGCGAGCCAAGAACATGGGGTTGGGATGCAAACAACAGACACTCAAGCATGTTCAGATGTAAATGCATCAGAAGACTTTGTTAGTGGGATTATGAAGATTGTTCCAAATATTGACGTAAGTTTGTATCTTTTATGAGCCATGAAGGCAGCAATCATACTTGTCTCATTTCAAACCCGACAACAAAATCACTTGGGGATTACTAAGCATTACTTTGGGTTTTTGCAGAGTGATGCAGACTACTGGCTTTTATCAGATGCCGATGTTAGCATTACTGACATGTGGAGAACGGAATGTATCCTTTTATTTCCATGTTCTTGTTTGTTTATACTCTTTCTACCACTTGTTTTAGTTCATTATTATGGTAGAAGTAGTTTTCCCTGACTCTTGAGCCAATAGCTAGTGTTGAATGGAACGATATGGGCATGCTTCCTAATGACTACGACATGCCTGTTGTCACCACCCCACATCCCCAAACACCAACTTCAGAAATGCATTCTGATGCAAACCCTACAGGGTAAGATTTTACAATCTTATTCTCCAAAATACAAGATGACTCAAATGTGAGAAGTACAGGTGTGGTATGGTATGGCATGAAGGATGGCTCCTTGCTGATTAATAAAAATAGGGGTAGTGTTTTGTAAATAGTTGAAGAGTTTGTAGCCTTTGTAACATAGCAGCAACAAAAGAGGATGATTGCATGTTTTGCACTACTAGCTAGTAACTTAGTAGTATTGTCATTAGCAAATTTGCAGGCTCATTATGGATTTTGTGTTGCCTATGAATCCAATAGATTTACAGTGTATTAAGCCGGTAGCAAATGCATTTACATATAGAATATATGATTCATTCAGCTAATTATCTTTATCAACTTTCTTGCCTATCCAACTAGCAACAATCGGCGTGAGTGCTACAGTAGGCGGGAATCTTATAGGCGATGCAGCTTTATGTGCAGCATATGCCAATGCAAAAGTCCCCACCTTCTCTCCAGTTTCATTAGCTGAAATCCCCACCTACAAAGAAACATACATGAGTTTCTTACATGTAAAAATGGCTCATGCCTTGCAAACTGAAGATGCTTATAGTTGTTGTCTTCAGGACCCATGAGATGAGTTTGATTTTTATAGTTATTACCAACAATAATGGGAAATATATATGTTCAAAAAATTGTATGTATACCTTTTGTAACAAGGATTGGACATCAACACCAGCAGTAATGAGGGCATAGCATAGTGAAAAGGAGATCAAAGAGAGAGTGATCGAGGTGGCTAGATAGGCTCCACCATATTTGGTCAACAGCTCTTTGGCTTGCTCTCCTTTTGATTTCTCCATCTTGTTATCTTCCCCCTTTGAGCTAAATATCTACAAAAACACCTATCTATCATCTTTTTCCGCTAGAAAAGAATTTGAAACACAATAATACGTTGTGCTTATTTTCGTAGAAGTATAATTGATTTTTAATTCTTTCTTGTTGGTACGACTACAATTGTCTAGTAGTAACTTAATAATCTATCACTTATTTAGTAAGTTTCTAGGACGGAGTTTGATCCGAAACCTGGACAAACAATATGAATACGGTTCTCCAGGACTTTCTTCGACACTCATAACGACGATGATGCTTTAAAACGGAAACATATGGACATGAACAAGTATTAAAGCATGAATCATGATGATGCTTTAAAAAGGAAACATATGGACATGAACAAGTATTAAAGCATGAATCATGATGATTCTACAACACTACGGAAACAATCTCACGACCATACCCGATACCGTATATGTGCCTCGACATTCTCTACAACTTTTTTCTTTGTATTTTTGAAAGTAAACCTCCTTTGTGCTGCTGATTTTCATGGTTATAGAAAAAAGTAAAACTAGTGGTAAGAAAAATGTCAAAGGAAAAGGTAATGGCCGTAAGCATGTATGTTACAAAGACCTTTGCTTCATGATACTCCCTCCATCCCAATCGTTTTGCTACAAAAAGTAAGTTATCTTCTCAAATCGACACCAATTTTAAAATGGATAGAAGCAGATACCTTCCATAAACCAGCTTCAAGACCGTATTTCTGAGTTACATCATCTGGTGAACTACTCTCACTCTGTGTTTCCTCTTTGATTGCCCTAACGCTTCGTGACTTCCCTCTGCTGCTTGAAGAAGAAGAACAAGTAGTCATAAATGTTCGTTTATCATTCAAAGGCGTAGACGAGAAGAAGATGTTGGATTGCTTGTGAGTGATGCAGGCGGAGGCCGGAGGTGCTGCTAAAGGTACGCCTGCCATCGCCATGCCCTTCATACTCTTCTATCTCTTTATCTTTCTCTTCCTTTCCTTTCCTTTCCTTTCCCCTTCCCTCCCCTCCCCGCCCCGCTGGAAGGGAAACTAACCACACATTATAATTTATACTCACCCCTTTCCTCTTCCCAAACTTTCTTCTTATTAATTGTTACTTTCTCCTTGCTAAAATAATATATGTTTATGATAAAAATAATATTCGGTTTCATTATTGTATTTTTTTAAATAATTAAATAATACTTTTATTTTTAACAACTAAAATCTCATAATTTATACTATCTTATAAAACATTTAGCTAAAACTCTTAAAAATTCTATTAAAAACTCTTAAATCCGTTCATCCCTAAACGATTTCATTCCTATCCGATTTCATCTCATATCTGAACTCGTGTAACTAACTGCAGATAAATACAATCAAATACATGAAAAACTTCTCATTTTTAAATATAAAAAATCTAAAATATAATTAGTATAATCATTGAGTTCTAACAGAATACTTAATTATTATCTTTATAAAATGTTATATTATTAAACCAAAAATAAATTATTTCATTATTAAACTTAAAT